AATCATACAGCAGTATATATATATGTATAATTTTCACCCAAGAACATGTTCTTTGTATAATTTATAAAGCAGTAAACATACCCAAAATTGTTTTGGGTATTAACTTAAGTTTTGTTAGAAATGTTGGGGTTTTTTTTTCTTGCTGTGCTTGTTTTAACTAAATGGGCTCAGTCATGTTTAAGCAAAAAGATTGCACTTGGTTTCGATTTGGGACTAGCTACCACTATTAACTTTGCCTAAGACAGTCAATACTGTATTTCACACCTCCTGTTTCTCAAAGCAAAACTGCAGAGGAAAGACAAAATAAAAGAAAAAAAATAAATATAAAAATTCAGATTCAGACACTCATTTTGACAATTGTTCCAAGATGTTCAGGTTCAGATGTGGATGCTGTCCTAGCTGGGTGATTTAAATCTAGAATCAAGCTACCCAAATGTTCAGGAAAATTTGTATCAGGTTCAATCCTCCCATTAACATCCTACAAGGTCAGATGACACAAGCAGCTGCACAGACAGCCCAGGGGAAGCCAAATCCTTGTGCAGCCAACTTAGGGAGTTATTTGGTCTCAATGAAAGCAGTTTTTTTAAGCCACCAAGGCAAGTTCTACCCATGAAAAAAAAAAAAAGCACTAAGAAAGTTACCACTGTGGTAAAGCACTCAACCTTGCAACCTGCTCTCTGGGCCCTAGCTGTTGTCAGCATTGCCAGTCCTGGTCCTGCTCCCTGCACATTCAACCACTTTCTTTGTACAGTTCCTCTGAATGGAGACCTTTCAAAACCTGCTCTTCTTCACTGTACCTCTGACTGTCACATCTGGATGAGGGATGTGTTTGAGCTTCTCTGAAGGAAAAGACAACAAATACCCTCAGATTGGCACTGCAGGAGCTTATTCATAGCGGGTTTATGAAGTCTTCCAGAAGAACTTGGCTGTCTTGAAGTATGCTATCAGGGAACACTATAAATAATAAATTCTCTCTTTCCCAACACTATGGGATTTCCATCCTCCAGCCAAATGTATTTCATTGAGCAAGTGACATTCTGATGTTTTCTGGGACAACTCTGTAGGCATGTGCCAAGACACATGCTGGCTTCTTCAGACAGAGACACGGGGCAGCTTAAACTTGGTTCAGATCATGAGTCTCAAGTAACAACAGGCCATCTGGCACATCTCAGTAATACTGGCACTTTCTATACCAACCGGTCTGGGACTTAATAAGACAGACATGGCAGGTCAGGAGTGAAATGCATTTGCAGAGCTGTGAGCATGAAGCATGCACGGCAGCACTTAATCCAAACCAGCACAGCCAGGACATCATCCATCAATCCAGCCAACAGCTGTGGGGGCAACTCTGGGAACAGAGCAAGCAGATGAGGGAATGTTGGACTAAGGGTCAGGAGGAGCATGAAAGCAAGGTGCCAGATGGGGGATTGCTGCTGGAAGGAGGAGGTACCACTAAAAATGGAGCTATGAGGAAAGGTCTGCTTGAAGTCAGGGTGTACGGGTCAGGAAGAGGTTGTATCAAAACTTCTTGGGAGGACGGCAGAACAATGCAAGGGTTGCAGTAGCAAAGGTGCTGGTATCCATGGTCAGGCAGTACACAGGAGCAGGGGAAATCTGGAATGAGGTTGTCAGCAGATTGGAGAGCATGAAGGAGGCTTTCTGGACCAGGAAGTTCACCTGTTGCAGCACCTTCTTGCTTCTGACTTGTTTCAGTAATATTTTATAGAACTAAATCTGAATCAGTGGGAGAAGACAATATATATTTGGTCCTCCTACCTGTTTGGTAGGAGGTCAGTTTTAAGATGCAGTTGTATAGAAATCAAAAAGATTAGAAAGCAAGTTTTGTTGCTGGTTAGTATAACGAGATGTTCTTACAACAGCCTGATGACTGGGAAAAGAGACTTGCTGATTGATTTACAGAAGCAAGGTAATGATTGAGGAAACTGTTTTCTCACTAAAAGAGAAATGTGAAACTCCATTTATTGCATCAAATGTCAGCACGTGCACTGGCTGATGTGCCTGTCTGGGCATGGATTACAGCCCTCAGTAATTTTTTCCTTCCATTTGTCCATTGTTTGTGTTGTACTCTAAACTTACAGACAGACAGTGTCATATCTGACTCACAGATGTCACACAGACTGGTTTCATCTTACTCTTATTCTCTGTGGCTTGCCTGTAAAAGTGAAGACATAACGAAGAAGATGATGGTGTGATGTATCTCTCTTCGACTGACCTACTTGATGCTGTAATGTTTCTTTTTCTTTAAGCTTTTGCATTTCTCCTGTGAGAAGCAATTACAATGGAAGTGTCAAGCAAAAATAAACCCCTGTTAATCACAGTCACTCTGAGCCTGCCAAGTAAATAACATCTCAGTGTTGTTGTTCCATTTTTGAGGTAGAAATAAAAAGTATGAGAATGCCAGAGTCTAGAAATTAAGCTCGTCCCAAGAGAGGGTCCAAAGTTTTTGAAAATACAAGCTCTTTTCTTGTGTTCATGACACTGAGTGGAACTAGACAAGCACTAAAATTGAGTATCTGATAATCAACAGAATAATTCAGGTCAGAAGGATTCTCTAGAGGCCCAACATCCATCCAAAGCAAGGCCAAATGCAGAGTTAGTTCAGATTGCTCAGGTCAGGTGTGCTCAGGAGTTTCTGAACAGCTCCAAAACGCTGGTTCCACAGACACTCCAGGCTACCAGGCCCTTGTTCAGCTGCTCTGACCACAAACAACTCTCTTCCTAAATCTAACTCAGATTTCTGATCCTGCAGCCTGCATACATTGTCTTTTGTGCTTTTGCCATGCACTCCTGAGAAAGGGTCTGATCCTGTCTTGTCTATAGGCTCTTAGTGCCTTCAGCTTTCCCTTCACCAGACTGAACAAACCCAGTGCCCTCAGTTTCTGCTCAAATATAGGTGCTCCTGTCTCTTGAAGTGCTCCAGCTCTTTTCTCATCTATCACAAATACTGAAACCATCTATAAATTACTTTTGGATTTGGTCTATGCGTCGGAAAGGAGGAATAAGAACTGGAGAAAACTTTGGGCTCTCTGCTGAGCCATTATTTTCCCACAGTTTTCAAACTCAGAGGCTTCCTGCATTGCCAGTGCATCACAAGAGAGCTGCCTTCCAACCACATGAAGGGAGAGGTACTGAGCTTGTTTCCCGCCAAATGCGAGAATTTTGTGAGTTTTGGAGGGAGGTTTTGTTCTTACTCATCTTTTCATTATTCCCTGTGTTGCAAAAAAACAGCAATTTCAAGGTGATGCAGTTGCATCCACTGTTCCAGAACAGCAGAGTGCAAGGGGGCAGTTTCCATTGCACCAGGGAGCTGCCAACCAGGGTGGTACCTACGGGTAAGTATAATGAGTTTAAAGACATTGTGAGGTCTCCCATTTCCTTTCTGCTTTGAGGAACAGGTGGTGGCTTCATGACTAGGTCGATTGCTTAATCAATGCTATGAATATTAACAGGAGTATCAGAAAATGTTTTAGCTTAATCAATCTTAAAACAGCCAGTTTGATATTGTGGACAAAAATTTCACATCTCACCTTTCTAGATTCTTTCACATTTCTAGATTCTGGTTTCTCTTCCACATGAAAACCCTAATCACGCAACTGTCAGTTACAGAGTCACCACCCAGAGATCAGTTTCAGACAGAAGAGCCTGTTGCTGGATAACAAGGGATTAACTGGATTAAGCCTTAAGTAAAAACTTCTTTCCAATTCCCATCTTCCCTGTCTATCCTTAAGAACTCTGCAGGTGTATATTCCATCTCTGTAGATTAAGTTGGACATTCTTCTGATAGGAGGATATCAAATCACACTCCTGAATCAATCATCACAACCTCAAACTCTGCTCAATCCAATCACTCTCACAGTAAAGACAATTTTTAAGTGCTTCAGCTCAGATATGCTTCACTGCAAGGAACCCTCTTTCAATGGCTTGACACCAGCTGCAATGACACCATCCCTGTTGACAAGAGATATTTCCCCATTATTTTACAAGAGTTAAAGTCCTCAAGAGCAAGAAAGGTCCCTTTCAACTACTGCTGTGCTGCCTATATGCAACAATGTAAGTTTTGCAGTTTTAGCAATCATCTGAATTTTACTGCAATGGAGTCACCACCACAGAGAAGTCCTTCCCATTTCAGAACAGGAGGGTAAACTTCCCTGAGCAGACTCATCAACGTGTATATCTGGTCTGATTTGGAAAGAGACTCTGCAGGATAGATAAATCAGTATCTCTGCAAAGTAAATAAACAACATCAAAATTTGAAGTCATAGGAATAGTTAGGTGTCTCCTAATGGAGAATAGTCTACTGGTGAGGAGATGGAAAACAGTAGTTTTGTACCACTGTAGTGAATACTGCTACAGACTTAGTGAAAGCAGGTATCAGAAAACCAAGTACAAACCCTCCGGACAATTTACATGACCCTCAGTAAACTGATAAACTATTGATGGCAAAGTTATTTGTTGCACTGGAACACACTACTCCAGTGTGTTGCACTGGAATATTCTGTCTGGAAATACGGGTAGGAATGGTTTTGTCCTCCAACTCCCAGTTCCAGCACCATCCACACTTTTGTACACATAGTTTTAATAAAACAGCAGACATGCATAAAATGTATTTCACATTCCTCTACTTGTCACAAAAGTCTGGTAAGAGTATCTGGGTGTGAGAAAACACTGTTTCAGATTTTTTCTCCAAGAGTTCTTCCTACTCCTATCATAGGGAATGACTCTGCCTGGTTATACTGTAATAGCCATAACAACGACGTAGCATTTAAAACGCACCCCAAATAAATATGCCTGCTTAAACAGAATTTAAAAATCTTGGTTGGATACTGAACCCCTAACAACGATGTGCAGAAAAAATAAGCAGGGGAGAAGGAGCCCATGTTTTTCTCTGATTACTTTTTTTGTGTGTGGTGTTAGTAGTGTGTTTGCTGGCAGCCCATGAGTACCATCTCACTCTCTTCCCTGCTAACCGAGGTCCTTACCGGTGACGACGCTGGGGATTTTGGACAGAAAGCTCTTGACAGTGCGGATGGGAACTCCACCTGTTTTGTCGTCCTGCATTCTCGTAACGATGTCTTCAATCTGTCAAAAGGAAGGAAAGACTTAGTGGTTCATGCAAAATGGTGGCTGTAACATTTACATACTGTGAGCATGTGGAACCCTGCTGATAGGACAGGCTTCAAATGTACTGTGTGTATTTACTGCACAAACACAGACCTGGAGACACAGCTACCAGCTCCCAAACCCTGAGCCTGGAAACCATGAGACACCACAGACCAGCTTGGAAGACTGGTCAGAAACTGACAATCCAATTGCAGCTATGCTTTTTTTTTTGCTGACCAGGGGTGACAGAAAAGGTGGTGTTTGGTCCACATGGGAATTGTGTTAGACTCTATAGTGCAACCAGCTTAAGGAGCTTCCTGTCCAGTCCACTTTCCCCAGTTTCTTCACATTCATTTGAATCCTTGATACTGTGACCTTGTGAGGGCTTTAATTTTCCAAAGGGTCCCAGACAGACTCATCATGCCTACAGCTTGAGAAGAGAATATGACAGAACAACTGCAGAAGGATTTTCCCTGCCTCATGCTGTAGGCTGGGATGGTGCATGTCCTTGGTCATTGTACAAAGTAAACAAACAAAAGTAAAGTGATCACTGAGAAAAACCCATTAGATTTTCACAGCCAAGTTAACTTTCACTTAACAGTCACATACATAAGCCATCATGTACAGGAAAACATACAATCATGTTCAAAAGCCGTGGCAATCAGAGGATCTGATTACTGGGGAAAGGAGAGATTAATCCTCCTCCCATTTACTCTGAAATGGGAAGGAATTTTTGCTCCTTCTGAGGCTACTCTCCTTGCATTTACTTGAAGGTAATGCCAGGGACAACAAAGAGCTGAAAATAAGCACAGTGCAGAAAGATGGCATCTCCAAAAACTCTCTTCAAGTTAATAAGGTCTCAGAAGCCCAAGAAAAATAGACTCGAAGCTGTTGGCTCTGTTAGCTTGAGTTGTTGACAGCACAGCCTCTGCCACTGGAGACGGGGCAGAGGCCAACAGTGGCCTGGCAGGGAGCACAGCCCTGATTTTACCTGAGGATTTTCTCCTTACAGATGCTACAAAACCCAACTGTGGCAGAGAGTTTACGTGCTGGGAACACAGCCCCTCTCTCTCCTAAACGCAGCTCAAGCAGCTCTCTTCAACTCTGAAACACCAGCTTCGTTTAGATGTGCAAGTGAGTTCCTTTTCACAGACTTAACACCTACATTTCAAAACAAGTTCAATTTCAAGCCTTCTTGAGGTAGTAAGAAAATTTCCCTGCCAACTTCAGATACTCAGTTTGATCACTGTGTTTTTAACCTCAGGCTATCACTTAACTGAACCCTTCACACCTTGTTTATATATTATTTTTAAGTTAACACATGCCCTGAACAAATTCTCAGCAGAAATGAAGTCACAAAGATGAAAATAACCTGAGATACTGAATAGATTATGGTAGGATTTGGTACCTACAGTTAATTAGTGTTAGAATAATAATGCTATGTTTTCCCCAACCCTACAAAAATGTATACCGCCTTTTCCACTTTACCTGAACTTTATGCAAGGTTATTTGCTGATCAAAACAGTTTCTTCAAGTCTGAGGATACCTGGAGGAGTAACTGCTCCTCTAAGGCTGGACAAGAAGCATTTCAGAGCACCCCATGGTTTTGAGAGGGGCCCGACAGCATCCCTCGTCATGAACACCCACTTACAAGGATTCAGTGATTCAAGATCAGATCTGCTGGGGGCACAGGATGGCTTGGTTGCCTGCAAACAGTGGACCAAGAGGGTCAGCCAGAGTAAGAACCACTTCCACTAGGCAATGAAAATGTCTCTTGGCTACCAACTAGTTATGCACCTTCATCTGTATGCCGTTGTGGCTGGCACTGGAGAGGTTTTTCAATGCATGTTAGGAGGAACATGTAATGAATCCCACATCTCCAGGAACATTTAAGAGCTTTCAAAATGCAAGCGTATTTTATTGGTAAAATTGTTAGTTTCCCTTTTCTATTTCAATGAAAAGTTCAGAATGAAAAGTGAGTTAAAATAACTGTTTTGATACAGAAAAATAAACATCTTACTTTTGCTCACTGTAAACTAAAAGAAACACCAGATGTGATTTATGTCATTATCACCCCAAGACAAGTTCAATTCCAAGCAAATTATATCTTTAATTATGTTAAAAGCAAACAACACACCGTTTTTTTCCTGAACTATCCCCATTCCAAGCTATCAAGCAGGCACTGGTGTCTCAAGTGGGGCCATTATTTTGGGTTTCAGTCACAATTATAAAAGCCTACTGCAATTTCAAACCAAATAAAGAAAACTACCCTAACAATGACTCCTTCCCAAAAGGCTCATTCTTCCTCTTGTCTACCAGCATGACCACTGGCACTTTCTGCTCTCCTTACTTCTGAGTGTTAGGTGTTTATTCTCTCCTTCCTTCCCTGTTATCTCATCTGATGAAGACCCAACTACACACATCATCCCTCTCCAGCACACCATCCTTTTCAGCCTGCTGCCTGAGAGCCCAGGGGGTTACAGCCCCTGGCTATACTTTGTCTTTCCATTCCCAATGTGCTTTCTTGTGCCCTCCAGCAAATTTCTTCACTGCTCAAAGGGGGCAGTATATCCCATTCAAATAAACATTTTATGATTGTGTTATGCGTTCTTAAAATTATAAACAAGTTTTAAATAAAATATAAAAAAACTGTATTATGCAACTCCTGTCAAGTTTCTGGTCAGTCCACTACAAAGAGAAGATCTGACTCTGTGTACCAGCCTTTGTATTTTGCATCCACCCCAACATTTGCAGATATTACCACCCTGGATCCAAATATCTGCCTAGATATGGAAATATTTCATTAAATAAGTGATACGGTGACAAAGTGGGGAAAAAGTGATTGTCAGAGCTTCAAGTGTGGAAAAAAGCAAACAGGAACATCAAGCGCGAAGGTCACTTTTATCAAAGCTTTTCATCTTTTTAAGAGAGTTACCTAGACACTTCACTGCTAATGATTCTCCCTACAGTTTCTCCATGTCATTAAATATCCTTTAGGTTGCTCTATCTGGCAGACAGGGAATAAAGTGTCCTTGATTAGTTCATTTCATCAGGCTAGGAGGCAAGAACTAGTAAAACTAAGCATTCCTCATATTTATCACTTCTAAATAAGTGAGCTTCAGTGAACCAAATTCTGCCCAACAAAAGTCATGATAGGAACAGGCAAAGTTGTACGTTTTTTGTTTTGTTTTCTATTATGGAGGTCACTGGTATTTCAAGCAGGTCTCATTTTGCAACAGTAAGGAGAACTATTGCTCCTCCAAGTGGATTCTGGGTCAATAATTTGCTGAGAAAGCCACAGCCATTTATGTATCTGCTGTCACTGTTACCAGTGACACACCACTACACACTGTGATGTATGCCTAACAAGCTAAATCTGCCTTTCCTCCTGACTGGTTGCTGATACCTCTGCTCTCTACATTTGTCCAGAATGATTTTATTTCCCATTACCCCACTTTCAGTGCATTGAGAAAAGCTTTTGATGCCAGAAGCACAATGTCAGTGGAGACAGGACTCTACAACAGGTAGTTTATGAGAGTTTACCAACATATTCTGTTATACAGAATGTGCTGGAGATTCAATGCATATGTGGGATTTGCTGATATTCATTAGACCTCGTGTTTTCCACTATCAGCACTTCTGCTGGCCTAAGGAGGGTGATGGCATGAATTAAGAAGACCTTGAATTTCTGTCAGAGCTGACATATCTGTCACTGGGAGACGAGAAGTCCCTATTCTGAGGGAGGGAAAAACAAAATGTTACATTTGTTGATGTGTTATCATGATTAAGTTACAATACAACAACAAATGTGACAATCACAGTCTGGAAACTTTTGATTGGTGCCACACAACATCCACCCCTAGTATCACACCATTACAAGGCAGAGAAGGACTCAGGACTTTGCAGTAGCTTCTCCTTCTCCCAGCACCAAAAATCAGGCAGGCATCCTGACTGCAGCACACTAGTGTGGACAGCCTTGCTGAGCCCTGGAAGCACCCTGCTCATGGTCAAGGCTGACTCTGGAGGTAAGACACTGAAGGAAGGGCAAGTAACACACAAATAAAAAAGCTAACACCTCCTGCCTCTCAAGACCCCATGCCTGGACATCAACAACAGCTTGCTGGAGCTACCCAGCTCAACATGGTTCATTGCAACTGAATGATTACCAAATAATTATGTGAGAAGCCACCTCAGTACCATTTACCAGCTCATTTTTGTGAGCTAGTGAGGGAAACTGCTCTTTTCATATTGTAGCCTTGGAATTGGCCACATATACTCCCCTGGACCCTGCAGGAAAGGTTGTACTGCCTATTTCTGAATATTTTGGTATGCACCAGGTTCCTGTCTGATTACTCAAGGCAGGTACCCTGCTCCTGGGGATCCCTGTCACCAGTTCTCCTATGCTGAAGAGTCTCCGAGTACCACTCACCAGCATGAACATTATAGGTACAGGGTTGGATACTCAGCTCTGTGAGATGTCAAATATCCTCTTCGCCCCAGCAGATGAGAGCTCTCACGAATACTGGTGGAGCTGGATGGTACATGGAGACAAGGGTCACTCTGTTGTCAGCTAACATGATGGCAACAAGTATAAACACATGTGATCCTTTACTCTTGACTGAAATACAGGTTCAAAATAGACTGTTTCTCACATTGCCAAGCCCTATGGGTCCCACAGGTGCCTCTGACCAGCCCGCTGACACTACCAGCACGCCGGTGCCCACTCCTGCCACGCAGACCCACCTATGCACAGGCAAAAAAAGTTAAATTTGACAGGATGTCTGAAACCAACTTGCTTCACCAGTCCAAACAATTTCACTCTGCTCAAACATAGGAAGAGGAGGCTGAAAAAAAACCCAGGGCACCTCCCTTGGTTAGCCTTGAGGGAGAAGGGATGGCCTTGCATCTGAGACAGGGCTGGAAAACAGCAGAGCAGCATCACAGAGAACTGCTGTGTGACCTTCAGCAAACAGCTTCAT